TTTAATATCACATGGCCATGTGTCTTGATTTAACCAAGCTTAAAAGCTTAATCAAATGCATAATTACATCAATAATCTTATAACATACAATATGCAATATTTTTTAAGTTGTAAATAAAACAAAGATTACTTTAGTATGTAAGATTACTTCAGTAAGAGAAAATATTATTTCAGTCTTTCTACTTAAATTCATGTCTAATTTAATGTGTGCTGTTTCTTTGTTGTTAACTGTAAAATTTGCTAGCAATTACAGAGTAACAAATTGTTTCTACAATTTTTTATGTACTAATAACAATAATACTAAGAATAAAAAAATATGGTGAAATTCTGAATTAACTGTAAGAACTGACTTCTAACTTCAATACATAAATTGGAATTTGAATTGAATTGGCCACACCCTCACAGGAAGTTGAACTGGAATGACAGGAAGTAGAATCCACTGAATTGGAATTCAAAGAGTTTTGTGACAAAACATAAATAATTACATCAATAATTCAGACTAATCATGATAATTATTCATTTATATTTAAATGTATTCACTGGATCCTGTTAGCTACTAGGGCTGCACGATAAATCGAAATGGAATCGAGATCGCGATTCGACAGAAGCTGCGATTGTCATGCGTATCTTTCAGTGAAGCACGGTTCTGTGATCAGCAGTAAATCTCCATCCAAAGGCCAGAGGGCGCTCTCGCGCTGAAACTCCAATTACACCTCGCAGAAGAAACCCAGAAAATGCCTATTGCTGCAGCTGAATAAACAGAAGATTCAACTGCTTTCATTGATTCAACGTGACTAATAAACACACGACTACGGCAATATACGGTTTATCCGAGTTCTTATTATTGTAATTTTCATTAAAATAAAGTATATTTATAATGCAATGCCTTTATCACTACTTAAATACTATGAAATATGTTGCGTGCCTTATTCTGTGTAAGAAGCCACATCATCTCACAGAAGGATTTATTTCAAACACTCGACTGACGTTATGAAGTGAGTTTGGAGTAAAAATTTTATTACATGTGGTATTTTCACATGCTTTCAGATGGAGCAGTATTTACTTCACAGAGCCGTAGTTCACTGAGAAGCTATGCAAACAGCTGTCATTATCGCAAACGATTTATTCGATTTCATAATCGCGCAATAAAATCGTCTATTTTTTTGCGTAACTTGTCAGTGAACTACGACTATGTGTAGTAAATTCTGCTCCATCTGAAAGCACGTGATTACAGAACCGGCTTTACTAACAAAATGCACATGACAATCGCATTCGATTAATCGTGCAGCCCTAGTTAGTTACCTTAAAATTGAATTACAAATATAAAAGGGATTCCCATTTATTTTTTTATAAGTTACATTTAACCATACAACCATATCCACAAGTCTTTTTCAACCCATGAGCTCAAAGCTATATCTAAATAAAAGGGAAAAAAAACAGATGAAAGAAGACAGGAGACTCGGTTTGTGTCACTAAGAAGAGGTTACTTTCCTCTCCAAATTAATTATTTAAATGCTGAGTCATTTAGCCATTAACCAGCCTGCCGTGTGACTGGAGGTAATCGGTACCACGAGAGCGCATGTCTCTCACTCATACTGCGTCATCATGATGCAAATCTGTAACACAAAACACCTTAAATCTTATCAGTAATGAGAATTTTGGGTTGACCTGTATATGACCTACACAACAGGTACACGTTTATCTCAAGGCTGATGTTTATGAATTAAAGACCAGGATTTTTCGTGACATTAAGGCTCTGTTGTGAAACGAGTGAGCTGCCTTATAACCTAGTAATCTGTATTGTGGCCTTATAAGGAAGCATACTTGACAAAGGAACTTCATACTTGAGAATTTTGGAACGTTTTACAGAGGCAGCAACATACAAATTTGAATTAGATGAAAATAATTTTATCAATACTTTTTGCTAATGAAAGAAATACATTTACAATCAATATTTCGATTGCGTTGTCCACTATATTATTGCTTTTCAAAATAGCTCCTGTATCGGGAGTGTGCATATGACGCCTTAAAAGACTGCCGACTTAAGCAGCTCACTAGATTTTGGAACAAAGCTTTAAAAACAACATGGCAGCCACTTTCTTTTATGCCACTAAAACCGTGGTTGAAAGATATGAAAAAACAGGACACACCGCCACTTGCCTATTATCACCTAGGGATATGCCGGTATCAAATTTTCATGTTGCGATTAATTGCTAATGCTTTTATCACGGTGTACGGTATTATCACAATATTGAAATTTAGTTTTAAAAAAAGTGCTGTCATAATACAGTATAACAGGTTTAATAACTTTTCAAGGTATTTAGAAGTGCCCATGATAAAAATATCGTGCATATTCATTACCGTGATATATCGCATTACCGAATACAGGCACAAGTCTATTATCACCTTTATAGGATTGTAACACTGAATGGATTTGGCTTTGATAAACGTAAGCATGATTTAGTTTTGGTTATTGATAGTTTTTTTTTTTGCTTTTGTTAAATCCTTCTCCATGGTGGTCATGCTTGCTTACTGACTGGGTTTGGTAAAGAGGAGCAGGCCTCAAGGCTCAAAGCGCTGTGTAAAATAAGCATTACAAATCTCTGTGACTACAGGCCACAACACCGCAAGCAGAAAACACGCAAACAGAGAGAGCAAAAGACAGTCTATACCAGCGTATTATGAAGATGATCAGTTTTATTAACCGTGCAGATGTTGAAAACCAGCCTAATATACTATTTAGGCATTATACTATACATGGGCTATTTGTTCTCTGGCAGCATCTCTGTGATTCTGACAGGTTGATAGACGTCTCTTATCAAGGTTCACAGATTACATATGCTGCGCTGTTTGCAAAGTGAAACAATCCTTTCAAATGCGTGACACTGTTCTGATGCAAGGCAGAAATAATTTAAAGACCTATAGGTTAGTTATCATCGTGCCAAGCATGGAATAATACATCTTTATTACATTTATATAAAATTCTGATATAATGCCCAGATAAAATACTATGCAAAACATAAGGAGGGATATATTTATAAAATTGTACAAATGTCTAAAATTGTACACCTAACAAAGATGAATCATTATCACTGTCTCAGATACAGCTATTATTATTATTAAAAATTGTAAATGACACAGTGATAATTGCCTCAAACAGTGAGACATAACAATAAAATGATCGATAAATACAAATATATAATATAATATGCTGCAATATAATATAAAATAAAATAATACAATACAATATAATATATTACTCTGGATCAAGAGTAGCAAAATTGTTTAAAATAATATTTAATAACAATATATAATATAATTTATACATACAATAAGTCATGGTAACATTTCTATTTTATATATATATTTTTTTTTTTTTTTACACTGAGTAGCCAAATTGTACCAATGTACCAAAAATGTTTATCATATAAAAATGTCCTTTGATGGCAGCAACCAAAGACATACAAAAAAATGTTCTCCTCTTATAACTAAAAGTTAATATGTCTATTTGTTATACTATCCTAACTATACCTGATCATAGAGTTATTTGCAGTATTGCAACTCTATCTGAATGGACTTGTGACCCATTTTTGTATTGCAACCCACCAGTTGAGTTGTGAAAATCACTGTATGTATAATTTGCAATCTAAAAAGAGAGATATCATTTTTAGCTGCAAATGTCAGCAATAAGATCACAAACAACTTCACATTACGTAAAACCTTACATAAACAGCATCAAAATTCTATGATTTCATACGGCATGAGAGACGAGATAATCCACTGGGGACTGCCATGTGTGGGCACACAGCGGACAAATCCAGCCTCTGCCCTATACGAGCGCACAACTGGCATGGGCCCAACACCCTCACTTCAGAAAGCGGCTGGTGCACAGCACAAAAATGAGATGCTTTACATGCCTCCAAGGCAAAAACAACTGATAGTATGCTGCGGACGGTACATCTTTGTACACGGCAACAACCAATTCTAAACTTCATGAATGGGAGTATACTTGCATATCTAGCATATCAGATCTACTGCTGTTTTTGGAGAAAAAAAGGGGGAGAACTGACTGATAAACACAGGAAAGAAAAATCTTTAACATCACAATTGTTTATCCTAACACAAATAAATGCATTCAATTCTGATTAAACCACATTATAGCTCTGTTCTCTTACTGTATGTTAACAGCTGTCTCACTTGTGTCTAATTTTAAGGAAAGTTGACGCTTAAACAAAAGAAAAAAGAAAAAGAAATGTTCCTCCAGGCATTTATCATGGGTAGTTTATAAGCAATAATCAATATCATGCATGCTCTCCGTATCTGAATTCAACTTGAGACTGAAGTATTTTCAGTGCAAAGCCAAAACTAAAACTAACATATGGTTTAAAGAAACAGAAGTTTTAGGGTTCCCAGACCTTTTGACCAATTACTTTGTCATTAAAAAAAAAAAAAAAAAAAAAAAAAAAAAACTTTTGGATCTGAGCGGAATTAGATAAACAATCCTAAAATGATTTTCCAGAGAGTATAAAAAAGCAATTTTATTTTTATTATAATTATTATTCCCTGATGTCTTCAGCTTATTCATGACTGTGGGAATCCGGCATCTAATAGCATGCAGTACAATAATAAAACCTCGTTTGAGTGATGCGCTTCCATCAAAAAGTAGCTGCGTTCAAACGCGCGGAACACTCTCCAGTCGTTACCGTATCCGTACTCGGTAACATGACAGCAAAAACTCGGTACTCGGAAGCCCTAACTATCGCCGTTCTCCTGTCACGCCTCTTTCGATCAATAATTGAATGCCTAACCTCCTTGGAAATGGTAACAGTCATGTAGAATTGCTTAGGACTACAAATATGAGCGGTGATTAAAAATAAAAACAGACTGACGCGTTAACGTCCGCGTAAACGGAGATATCTTGAGCGTCTCGCGAAACTGGGATGCTGTGAAACGCGCGCGTTCGACGCCTCATCCCGCGCTCGCGCTTCTGAGGTACTTACGTGTAGTGCTGAGGAAAGAGGAGCGTCGCCGTTCCCCGTGAGGAGAGGCTGAGGAGCAGCACAGTTTGAACGGAGAGGAGGCAGAGCAGACTGGAGGACTGAGCAAACATCGCCATTTTCCATTAAAAATTCAAGAAACTGGGTAGATATAAACGGAACCGGTAGTCAAACGAACTGGGGGTTAACGCCGAGCTGTCGACGAGGATGGAGAAGACTCGCTAAGATCCAAAGCCGCTGTTAAATCTCAATCGGTAACGGGGCTGAAGAATTGCCCGAGACAAGGCAGTTCGGAGACGCGCTGATGCGTTGATGCTGCTGCCGCCACTGGCGCTGATCCTGCTGCCGCTGCTGAGCC